GCCAAACCGTATCGCATTTCAGGAGGTTAAATGTTACTGTTTTAAAACCCCAAAAGGGCGGGAAGATATATAAAATTTAAATTGTTATTTCGGTTGTATCAAATCTAAAGCTCAGAACTTTTTTGTACACCTAATATTTACTATTCCAGTTATATCAGATTGTAGATGGAGATGAATTATTTCATTATATTTATTTAATGTATCATCTAAATCTTTCTATAATGCTCAATTGTCATAGCCCATTGTTAACTATCTACTATTAAATAAATATATGTAATTTATACATATTTTCACACATACTGTCATTTCATGTTCCGTTATTATTATTGGATTTATTTAATATAATAATTATTTCACCTTACAGCTATTTTAATTTACTTTAATAAATTATATCGAAAACGATATCTCTTTCCCCTTAATCATTTTCTTGATCAGTGTCATCTATCATTTCGACAAATTAAAAGTAAGTTGCCACTTTGTCAACCAACCTAACATTACTTTAACTTTCATATTTCATAACTATTACGTTAATATCGAGTCAACATTAACTAAATTACTTATTCAATTATTATTGAGAAGAGACTCCGTAAGTTTCGGCCTACGGACTCATTTTCGTCATCTCTAACTAAATATAACAGTTGTAATCCTAATTTGAATTTGCCAAGACATGTCGCTTGTTCTACTACTTCATCCTAGCTCAGCGTCCTCACCCGGGACATAACAATGGGCAAGTTCAAGACGGCAAAGCGGCTAGGCATGCTTATCGAGCGATTGAATATGACTGGTTGGACCTATAAGTAACAACCAATTATGCTCATTTGCTCGGCGAGCAGGCTAGCCGCTTTGTCAACTTGAATGCATCCAATGTGCTGCGGCTCTACGCTTTAAAAGCTCAGGGTAAAGTCTTCATGAGAATGATGTCCCATGCAAATCTCACCAATCACAGAATCATTCTCTTAGATCTGTTTCTCTTAAATTTGCAACCAGATCTAAAAGAATGATTCTGT